TAAGGATTATTTGAAGCGGCTAGAAGCATACATGAAACTGTATGGGGCATTGGTTCAGGTTTGTCTCTTCTAATAGTTCGGGAAGTACTTCGAAATATTTTATCTTGCCACATTATTTTAGAGCTTTCTATAATTGAGCTACTTTCATTATCTAGTTATACCATTCTCGACTATGACATTAGGAATCTTTCCATAAAATTAACTTATAAAAATGGATCATTTGGCAGACAGAAGTTCCTGGTGCCCGTAACATACATGGTCTTGAGGAAGGTTGGGCATGGCTCGCAAGATTTCTAAATGCAGTTCCCCCCAATATATATACTGCAACCGCGCTCTATGCATTCTTACAAGTAAGTTGAATAGAAGTTTAATCACTGAGAAGTAAGCTGAAAAAACCATGGTTTGACGACCCCATTTTGTATGATATAGGTAGCAGGCTTTGCACTGTGTAGAAAATATAAATCTCAGTTCAGGAAGCTTCTGAACATCATCTCCGACAACTTCTTGATTGCACTAAGAGGAAAGGAGAACCCAGGGTTGAAACAGATAATCGTGCAGATTGAATCCTATTTGGAAGACAGGAAATTCCTTCAAGAACCAGAAGGAAGGACCTTGCGGGGTTCCTTGTTGTCCAGTGGTATGGTGCCGGAGTCGGAGTACACGAAAGATTCATACAGCCGTTCAGGTAATTCATATTTCTACTGATACCACCCAGTCTCCTGAACAATTTTGTTATAGTTTAGCTGAGGGAATGTGACCCATTTATAACCTAGGCATTCTTCTCAGTACAAAAGAAAAATTCAGCATTGTTGAAGAAGTGTACGCTAGAATATGGTGTTTGAACTTGTAACTCTGTTTAATGACAATGAGGAATTTTATTGAAGAACAAAAGTTCGCTCAGTTGATAAACAAGTTGAAAGATTTATGCAACAGCCTGAAAGCCAATATGTACAAGGATGTACACAAACAACTCCCTGTAGAACAAACAAGATAAAGACTTTAAAGTCATTTTTTGGATTTTAAAGACTTGAAAGTCATTTTTTGGATTTTAAATCGTTTCTTGAGCTACTAGCATGTGAAACTGTCAAGACATCACTTCCTTCTGGACTAGATTTAGGGGTCTTCATCCCTCCCTTCTGTAGTCCATCATCCTTTGTGGATCCTTTTGTGCTTCTACCTTTCTACCTTCCTGGAGAACGAGTTAGTTTTTCAATGTCACCGGTGATGACATGTTTGAACTTGTTGGTTTCGGTAACATTGCACTTTTCAGTTTTTCAGGTTTGTTGGGTCTTTCTGTTAGGTTATGGAGGTTGATGTTTATTTATTGCTTAGTCAACGCTTATACCCAATAAAGCTATATATGGTAAATGATATATAATGTAATATGGTAAATGACAAATAATGTAAATTGTAAAGTAAATTGTCATAAATATGTATAGTAAAAAGCTATATCTATATATAGTTATATATAGTAATAGTTATATTTGGTAAAATTATAAATAGTAAATCGAACTATATGTATATATATTCCTTTAGGCAGAGCTTTTAAAATAACTTTCTGGATCTTTGTATTCTCTCTTACTGTACATGTATTCTCTCTTATGGTACATGTATGAAACTTTTAAAATAACTTTCTATATTCTATATGAAACTTTTAAAACAACTTTGTGTATTCTATATGAAACTTTTAAAATAACTTTATGTATTCTTTGTATTCTCTCTTACTGTACATAAATACAAATCATTTAGCCAGAGTTCTTGATTTTCTCTCTCCTACTCTTTGTGTTCATCTAGATCGAGTGTGTGTTGTTGTGCGATCCTAGCAACTAGTATTAGAGCTAGGTGAAATTCACCACGATATGTGAAGATGGAAAGTTCAAAGATTGCAATTGAGAAGTTCAATGGATCCGATTTTGGTTTCTGGAAGATGCATATTAAAGATTATCCGTACTAGAAAGATCTTTATGAACGGGGTGAAGTCGGATACCATGACCATGGAGCAATGGAAGCTCAAGGATCGGCAGACCTTAGGGCTGATTTGATTGACGCTATCCAGAAATGTGGCGTTAAACATCATCAAGGAGAACGTCATATCTGTTGAAGGTGTTGTCGAATATATACGAAAAACCGTAGACTATAAACAAGGTGTATTTGATGCAGAGATTGTTTAGTCTACAAATGTTCGAAGGTGGATTGTTGCTGATCATACAAATGAATTTAATATGATTGTAAGTCAACTAAGTTCGGTGGAAATTAATTTTGAGGATGAAATTAAAACATTGATTTTGATGTCTTCTTTATCCGAGTTATGAGATACTGTTGTTGCTACAATCAGCGGTTCTCGAGGATCTGATAAACTGAAGTTTGATGAAATTCGAGGTGTAGTTCTCAGCGAAAGTATTCGCAAACGAGAAATTGAGAATTCATTTGGTAATGCTCTTAGTGTTGACAATAGGGGAAGAAGTAAATCGAAGGGCCCAACCAAATGGTGATCAAAATCAAAGAATCGAGAAAAATCGCCAAATAGACCAGCGTGTTGGAGTTGTGGAGTGACCTCAGTTGTGGAGAAAAGGTCACTTTTGGATAGACTGTACAAAGCCAAAGAGGAAACAGAATCACAAATCTGGAGATAATGATTTTATAAATTCAGCAAAAGATATTGAAGATGCTCTAATCCTCAGCGTGGACAGTCCGATTGAATTCTGGATTTTGGACTCAGGTATATCTTGAAGATGCTATAATCCTCAGCAAAAGATATTGAAGATGCTATAATGATTTTGGACTCAGGTCTCCAAATAAAGAGTTGTTTCGGAATTTCAAGTTTGGAAATTTCGTGGTGTATCTTGCCGACAACAAAGATTTGGAGATTAAAAAAAAAAAGGATGTCTGCATAAAAACTCCGGCAGGAAATCAGTGGACATTAAAGGATGTCAGATATATTACTGGTCTCAAGAAGAACCTGATCTCTATTAGTCAGTTGGACAACACAAGTTATGCAACAGAGTTAGAGAAGAGTTCGTGGAAGATCATGATCCTTGTGAGAACTGCGTTATGAACAAACAGAAACGAGTTAGCTTCACAAAGACTGCAAGAGAATTGAAGAAAGTGAAGTTGGAAATGGTACACAGACGTTTGGGGACCATCTCTAGTTCTATCACTTGGCGGATCAAAGTTCTACATTCATCGATGATTTCAACAAAAAGGTGTTGATTTATTTCCTGAAACACAAGTCAGATGTGATCAAAATTTTACGTCACCTTCATCGATGATTTCAGCAGGAAAGTATTGATTTATTTCTTGAAACACAAGTCAGATGTGTTTGCCATCTTCAAGAAGTGGAAAGTTGAAGTTGAAAATCAGACAAACTTGAAGATCAAATGTCTGGGGTCTAACAACGGAGGGGAGTATGACAAGTCAGAATTCAAAGCATTTTGTGCCGCTGAAGGAATTAGATTAATGAGGACAGTTCCCAGTAAAGCAAGACAAAATTGTGTTGCTAAAAGGCTGAACAGAACATGAATGAGCGGACAAAAAGTATGAGATTCATTATGGATTGCCAAAGACATTCTGAGTCAATGCTATAAATACAACAATTTACTTGATCAACAAATGGCCGTCAATGCCCTTGGGGTTCAAGTTTTTAGAAGAGGTATGGACAAGAAAAGAACTCAAGTACTCTTAGTTGAGAACTTTTGGCTGCATTGCGTCTATTCGTTCGTGTTGATCCAAAGAAGAGTGACAAGCTTGATGTTGAGCCTGTGAAGTGCTACCTCATAGGCTTCTAATATATGTTCGAGTACAAGTTTTGGGATGTGAAGAACAAGAGAATCTTGAGACATTGTGATGTGATTTTTGATGAAAATGTCCTGTACAAGAACAAAGAGAAGAAAAGTTTCAAGACAACGAAACAAGTTGAAGTTGAGTTGAATGAGCAAAGCATCTTTTTATTTTTATCTTAACTACTTGTAGCAAAGGGAGAGAAAGAAATCTATGGGCAGGAGTACTTATCTCATTTCGTTAGAGAAGCCTACTTTAAATTGGAAGAAAGTCTCGAAAATTTATATATAAAACTCTAGCCGTACAAATTGCTTTCTTGCCGCACCAATGTTTAGAAAGTCGCAAGAACTTGTGTCACGACCTGATTTTCGAAGCCTCGAAAATTCGTAGGGTGATTAAAAAGACGAAAGCAAAAACCATTAAAAAGAAATTAAAAGAGAGGTAAAACAAAAGATAAAAGTCCAATAAAATTAAAACAAAAGAAAAAGAAATTTTGTTTCAAATATTACAGAGGGGATACAAATATAAAAGGGAATACAAAAGACTTCAAAACGACCGAAAACAGACTGACGCTTTGGAACGACCCCCTCTGTGACTGCACAGCTCTTGAACGCTCCTCCACCTCGACTGGCAGCCTGTAAACACTTACAAAAGATAGGAAAACAAGGATGAGTATAAAATTTACTCAGTAAGCCACCTACTTGTAGGCTCTCATCACAGTTTAGGCTTAATAGATTCTCACGGCTTCTCATGGGCTTTAGGACGTTTGGTTCTGGTTTTATCCCCTTGGGGCTATTTTAGTTCTCCGTCCTTTTATTTAAACCCTAAGAGTTCCTTAGTCCAAGTTGTGAATGGCTGGTGTCTCTCTACGAGGTGCTACCTCATGCATGGTTATCTAAGACTATGGTACCTTACTTAGGGGTGTGCTGAGTACCTTTTAGGTCCATGATAGTCTCCCTCATTGGGGGCGCGACCCCTCCCTTATCCCATGCAGCTAATGGGTTGTATGACGTGGGTCTCACGTTTTCCATGCGAAACGGCTAGAAGAAGTAGGTACTAATCAGGAACCCTTGGTCCCCCACGAAGCTAAGACATTGTTCACCCAACTAGTAGCTTAAGAATACTTCTAAGGTGCATCATTTGTTGTAGTGATCTGTTAGGCTCACTGGGAAAGATTAAGTCTAAACTTAGTTACTTGTCACTTTAACTATCATAATAATGGGTCATGGAAAATAATATGAGTATGCATAATTGATGCAAAATAAACATACATGCTCAACGGGGTGATAACATCCATCCATATCTAGAGCGCAGAGTTTACAATTTTACATACTCCTTTCAGCCTGATGTAGCATGACTTAAATACATACATAAATACGAAGCATAAAACATGAATAATTTCACTTAAATCATTTCCTGAAAAAGAGGAATAGTGACCGATCTGCTGATTGAGTGTTGAATCTATGTTCACCTTCCTTTATAGAGTAACACCATGGTACTTGCAAACATAAACTTACCAAGAACTGAGCTACACTCTTAAGTGGCGAATTGGAATAAGTTTGAGAGGTGACCTCTTGGGGATGGTTAGACCACCATTCTCTTCCATGTCCAAATCTTCTTCTTTCATTCCATCCGGTAATTTCCAATCAAAACAAAGCAACAGATTAGCTAGTGTGAGCTCCACCGCAAGGATCCCCATATTCATCCCCGGACATCTTCTCCGACCAGCTCCAAATGGTAATAACTCAAAATGTTGTCCTATATAATTGATATCACTCCCTATGAATCTCTCTGGCAAGAATTTTTCTGCGTCACTCCAGGAATTCACGTCTCTCCCAATCGCCCAAACATTGACATACAGATGACATTTGGGATCAATATCATAATCGTTTAGCTTGAAATGGGACATGGTTTCTCTCGGAAGAAGTGGGATGGGAGGATGCAGCCTCAAAACCTCTTTCACAACCATTTTTAGATATTCAAGCTTTTCGAGTTGACTCTCCTTCACTTCATCCTCTTTGATGCAGTTTCTGATTTCATATTGTAGCTTTTTCATCACCCTTGGATTCCTAACCAGCTCTGTCATAGCCCAAACAATGACCCCTGCTCCCGTTTCAACTCCACCTAGAAATATATTCTAAAACATATACAACCATGAACAAAAAAAGTTAAATATATGAGTTACAATGGGAGGTATTCATAAGTTGAGGTTACCATTGTAAGTGCCTTGATGCAATCTCCACTGAGTTGCAATCCATCTTTTTCTGATTTCAACAGAACGTCGATAATATTGTCTTTTTTCTGAGAAGTTGCCTGGAAGTTGATGCGGTCATCAATTACATGTTGGAAAAAGGCATCCAACTCAAAAAAGCTCTTTTCCAACCTTCCATGAACGCCAGTAAGCCAATCAACAATCCAACCCACTCTGGGAAAGTAGTCAGTCGCGGAGAAATATCCGAGTGATACTATGGCTCTTCGAACAACATGGTGAAAATTGTGATTATCTAGCTCACCCCCTCTGAAGTTCTTCCCAAAAGCCATCCGGGTTATTATATTTTCTGTGAGAGAGTAAGATTTCTCACTCAGATCAACAAGATTTGAATGTTGAGAGATTGAGTTCAATAACAGACCCACCTCTTCTTCTCTAATATACTGAAACGACTGAACCCTCGAAGCATTGAAGAGCTCAAACATACAAATCTTTCGAACGTTCCTCCAGTGTTCACCGTATGGAGCAAAACTCATGTCAACATAGCTGTACGAAAGTCTTCCACTACCTGTTGAGCAAGGACGGCTGCAAGAAGCAAGGTCGTGAAATTTGAACAACTCTCTTGCAGCGGCGGCAGAGGAAATAACGATGGTTGGGACAGAGCCGAGTTGGAGGAGCATGACGGGGCCATATTTTTTTGAAAGCTGAGAGAGAGAGCGATGGGGGAGGGAGCCAATGAGGTGAAAATGGCCCAACAAAGGAAGCTTGGGAGGGGTTGGAGGAAGAAGCTTGTTGTTGGGTTTTGCCTGTTTTCTTATGGATTTAAGAAGCAACAGAGAAGAACAGAGGAAAAGCAGAGGAACCCAGATAAAGAGATTATTAGACATCATTCTATCAACGCTAAGCATTTCCAATCTCTAGTCAGAGAGAGAAAAGATAGAGAAAAGGCTGAATGGGGAAGAACACCAAGAGGATGAGGTTTATAAAGTGTTAAAATATTGTGTATTTACAAAAGTGTTCATCAACATTCATAAAATTTTGACACATCCATTCGCATTATTGATGAGAGTATCTTCCCAGAGAAGAGAAGACAAGACAAACGGACAAAAATGGCTATTTCAAATGGGTTATAAGCTTTTAATTGTTGTTCATCCTTAAAATTTATAGATCAAACAAACAAACTTCAGCCAAAGAGTTATGGCTAATATTTGTGTGTAGGGTGATTGAGCTATTTTCCATTTCCACCACATGGACCACAATCATTTGTCTTTTTCAATATCTTAGGTAGTTTTATTGATATAGACTTTTTATATATAAGTAGCCCCACTATGTTTTTGATGGAACTTTTTCGGGACCAAATGGTAAGGTCATGATCACACCAAAAGCGTGGGATAAGTAAGCCAAATGTGTGCCTGAACAAATTTCAGAGGAGTCATTGTTACAAAGGTATTGATAAGTTTAACTCCCAAGTTTCACCATGGGGTGGTTATCAGTAGAGCTAAGGATCTATTAGTAGTTTTTGTTGATGAAGTAATAGGCTCCCTTCAAGCTTATGAGTCAAGAATCAATAAATCATCGTAAAGGAATGAAAAAAATATATATTTTAACCGAAGGAGAACCACCAGCCATGAATAGAAACACAACCCATAGAAAAATGTTTATTCCACAAATAGAGATAGTAGAAGAGGAGGATTTCGTGGCGACCATGATTGTGGTAACATGGGTAATTGGAGAAATAATATACAAAGGCAGTTCAACGAGCAAGGTAACATGAGGAATAACATTTTATGTTACCATTGCAAAGGATATGAGCATACATAAAAGTTGATTTCTGGTATAAAGATCAATAAATAAATAAATTTTGTAGCAAAAAAATGAAAAAAAAAAGACTTTTTATAGCTTGTATTGATACTAACCTAAAACAAAGAAATTTATGGTTTGTTGATAGCTGATGCTCGAACCATGTGATAGAAACCAAATCTTTATTCCAAGAGCTTTATGAGACACAAAAAATTAAATACAACTTGGCAATAAAATAAAGATTCAAGTTGAAGGGAGAAACACAGTGAAAGTTGAAACCAATCCTGACAAAGTAAAATTATTGGATAATGTTTGATTTGTGTCAGAGTAAAGGTACAATCTATTGAGTGTTGAACAATTGATGATCCGAGAATTTTCTGTTCTAATTTAAGGTACAATCTATTGAGTGTTGAACAATTGATGATTGGAGGATATTTTGTTCTATTTAATGACAACACTTGTATCATGACGAATAAGAAATGAGGCTTAAAAATTCTAATTCTCACGACTTCAAATAAGATGTTTCCATTGGACGTTTTTAATGTGGGGAATTTTGCTCTTACTGCTAGATCAAAAGATAACTCGACGCTATGACATTTGAGATATGGGCATCTTCATATGAAAGACTTGAAATTAATCAATGATAAAGGTATGGTTTTCTGGTTACCAAATATTGATACAATTAGTTTATGTGAATGATGCAATTATGACAATCAAACTAATAAGCGAAAATAGTTTAAAATTATTTAGAAGTAATTCATGATGATATATGTGGGGCCAATGCAAACTAAATTTTTGGGTGGGAGTGTTTATTTTTTTTACTATTTATTAATGACCGTAGTCATATGAGTTGCTTTATTTCATAGAACGTTAGTCAAAAACTTTTGAGAATTTCTAGAATTTGAAAGCTATGACAGAGAATCAAAGTGACTGTCACATTAAAGTACTTTGCATACATAGAGGTGACGAGTTTATATTATAAAGAATTCAATTTATTTTGGGAAGAATAGGGCATCCAACCTTATACTCTTAGAACAAAATGGAATCAGTGAATCAAAATTCGAACAGTGGTGGAAATGAAAAAAAGTATGTTACATGTAAGGAGACTTTCAAACCAATTTTGGACCGACACTATCGCAACATCTGTCTATCTCTTAAATCTTTCACCAACAAAGCCTGTAATGAATCGATCTCCTTATGAAGCATGACATGGAAGGAAATTATTTGTAAGTCATTTCCGAGTCTTCGACTGTGTTGCTTATGCATTGATAAATTCTCAACTTCAGTATCACTAAACAACAACTTTTTTTTTTAATCATCTTCGTATGAGACATGATCAAGGAAGTATAAATATTTAGCTGACATATACGCATCGTTTCAGACTCTTTAAGTTAAGAAGAATCCGTTGAAAAAAGAAAAGTAACAAAGAACAATAGTAGAAGAGATCGAGACAATTAAAAAGAATGAAATAGGGGAGATGATTGATTTACTAAATGGAAAAAAAAAAAATGCAATTAACTTGAGATGGGTGTTCAAGTAAAAATTTGCAACAGATGGAAGCATACCGATAGCTCTCCAAAAGTACGGTTATATCAAATATTTTTATAGTTAATTTTGTACTCATACTCACTATTTTCTCATTAATTGTCACATTTATTTTAATTAGTATACATGAAATAGTAACTGTGATTTAATATGAAAAGAAGTTTAATTTGCATAAATCGAACTTAATTGAGTTATTTGGTAAAACTACAGAACATTCATGCTAAACCCTGATGTTGTAGCAAATTTGGAAACAACACTGCTTGCATTTGGAAATAAATTGTTGTCTTTGATGCGGAAGCAATTCGGAATGCAAACATTTTGGGGATGACTTGAAAATTTTAATCCACATGAGCAGTCTACGTGTGTCATTGACTACCAAATTGGAGACATCCTACGTAGACGATTTTATCTTTTCTCAACCCTAAATGAGAAGAAACAACCCTTATAAAAGGAAAAGGATACCTACAAAGAGAGGGAGCCACACTTTTGGAGAAAAATCGAATTAGACAGCAGCAACCTTCACTGCTGTGATTTGCAATGAAACCAGAGAAGAAGAAAATCCTAATCCAGTTGCTGTTGACAGCAGAAGGAAAAGGAGACCAACAAGGATTAATTAGGACAAAGAGGTGGACGTGAGAGCTCAAGGGAAGGGAACTTCCATTGACGACGGCAACAAACTGTGATAACTCTCTATTTCCTTATTCTCTTTTCTCATTCTATCAATTTTACATGATTGAGATGCAGATTCCTTTGTTTAATTAACTTGTATGGAGAGCTAAACTTTATAGGGGAGACGAGAGAGTTTCATATAGTTTAAGTATGTTGACGGTATGATCTTAGTTTATTAAAGAGTTGTTGTTAATGATTTACATGTGTGTTTAATTAGCTACTTTACATACATAGTTGTTCTCTTATTCGAGAAAAGAGAGGAAGCAATGAATCCTCTTTAATACTTTAGTTCCATTGCGAGGAGATTTGAAGGGTAATAGAAGAGTTAGGAATAATTCTTCTCCTACCGCCTTGTCAATAGAAATTACAAACGATTATGAAAATAATCTCCATGCATGACTTCGCAAGTGGTCTTGGGAATCTATTAAAATGAATTAAAATCTACTACTAAGCTCAACAACTTATCTATTTAATCTCTCTTTGCCGAACCTTTCTCATTATAGTCTATTTTCTCATCATTTTCTGTTACTCCACCGCAGTCCCAGCCGTCCCACTTTGCTTTAGTTTTGTTTAATCAGTCAAAATCTCCCACACCCATTTGAATGTTACCCAAAAACTCACTTTAACTTTTAGTAATAAAATTAACTGAAAAGATAGATTCTATGTGGAATCGATAATTTACTTATTACTTGCTACTTGTGATAGTGTATACTTGCCCTTATTCTTGTGAATTTTACATCATTTTAATATATACATCCACAAGCGACCACATACAAATCATAAAGCTCGTGTTGTGACAAAAGCTCACTTTGAAACGGTAAGAACTATTCCAGTATTAGCAACACAATTGTAATGACCTGTTTATTAACCTGACGTCAAGTTAGTATTCCTTAATGGAAATTTGCAAGAACATATCTATGTAGCACAAGCCTTGCCTTAAATGACAATGAATTTGAGATACCACTGGATTGTTTTGTTTTGTTGCACTATATTTATTTGGTCTCTAAATATATCAAGTTAAAGTATGGGAAGGGAAAGCTCTCAATGATAAACTAAAAGTCACTAGTATTTCCAAATTTTTGAATTTTAATTATAATATAATCGCTTGGGCGAGTAAAATAATAACGAAGCCTTTGCAGCTTTGATCTCATCTTGTATTCTATTGTCTCCTCTAAGTATTCTTTTTCTGTCATCTTTTCGCTTTATAGAACTTTAGAACTTAATTTACATATAAAAAAAATGGATAAAAGTGAGATAATTATTCTTTTATTTGAGTACCTTAATTCTATTGGATAACAAAAAACTATAAACTAAAAATTAGTTGAAATAAGTGGAATAAGCTTAAGGAGTGATTTCTTGGTAACGGTAAGGCCATCATCCTCTTCCATATCTACATCTTCTTTCTTCATTCCTTCTGGCAGTTTCCAATCAAAGCACAGCAACAGGTTAGCTAGTGCCAACTACACAGTAAGGGTTGCCATATTCATCCGAGGACAAATTCTTCCGCCGCCTCTCAAAGGTATAAACTCGAAGTTTTGTCCTTTGTAATCGACATTGCTTTCTATAAACCTCTCAGAAAAGAATTTTCTGGGTCCGTCCAGGATTGTGGGTCTCGTCCAATGGCCTACACGTTAATGTGAAGATGAGACTTGGGGTCGATATCGTAACCGTTGAGCTTAAAAGGGGAGATGGTTTCTCTTGGAAGTAAAAGTGGGACGGGTGGATGCAACCTCAGAACCTCTTTCCCTACCATTTTTAGATACTCAAGCTTTTCTAGTTCAATCTCTTTCACTAAACATTCTTTTATGTAGCTTCTGATCTCGTCTTGGAGCTTCTTCATCACCCTTGGATTCCTAACAAGCTCTGTCCTGGCCCAAACAATGGTGCCTGCTCCAATTTCTACTCCGGCTAAAAAAATATCCTAGAAGCCCATACATCCAAAGAAGAAGAAAATAAAACATATAGAAAAAATAAGTGACCTATAGTTATATCATTATTCGGGTTTATGGGTCAACTATATTTTCAAAAGAAGTTTAAGTAGAGATGTCTATAGGACGAGACCTTCATCTCCGTTCCTACTTTCTGTTTCAATCTTCATCGATAAAATTCTTTTTCCATATACCATATATATTTCAAAAATGGATAGTTTCTAGTTTTAAAAAATATTAAAAAGTAAAACATTTTAATAAATTTAATGTTATATAAAGTGGGTAGTGATGGAGACTGAAATAATCGCCCCTTTGCCTTGTTTAAACAAAATACCCAATGAACAATCTCTAATTTTAGGTTAACATGATGAGTGCTTTAACGCAATCTTTGGTGACTTGTAGCACTTCTTGAAGTTGATACGACTACATGTTGAAAAAAGGCATCCATTTCAGCAAAGCTCTTCTCCAGCCTCCCATGAACACCATTCAACCGATCAATTATCCAACCGAAAGTAGGAAAGAAATCGGTCATCGAGAAGCTTCCAATTGCTACTAATGCACTATGCATAACATGTTGAAAGTGTTCATCATCTAATTTTCCTCCGCTGAAGATGCTCCCAAAAGCAACTCGCGTTGTTATATTTGCAGTGAGAGAGTACAATTTGTCACTCAGATCAATTGGAGATGAAGAAGAAGAAAATTGGGAAATGGAGTTTAGGAGGCGCCCCACTTCCTCTTCTCTAATATCCTTAAAAGATTGAACCCGCCGAGCAGTGAAGAGCTCAAGCATACAAATCTTTCGGACGTTCCTTCAGTGCTCACCGTATGGAGCGAGACTCATGTCAAGATAGTTGTACGAAAGTCGTCCGTTGGCGTGTAAGGGAGGTCGGCCGCAAGAAGCAAGGTCGTGAAATTTGAACAACTCTCTTGCAGCAGCGGCAGAGGAGACTACGATGGTTGGGACAGAGCCCAGTTGGAGAAGCATGACGGGGCCATATTTTTTTGAAAGCTGAGAGAGAGAGCGATGAGGGAGGGAGCCAAGGAGGTGCAAATGGCCCAACAAAGGAAGCTTGGGAGGGGTTGGAGGAAGAAGCTTGTTGTTGGGTTTTGCCTGTTTTCTTATGGATTTAAGAAGCAACAGAGAAGAACAGAGGAAAAGCAGAGGAACCCAGATAAAGAGATTATTATGCTAAGCATTTCAAAGCTCTACTCAGAGAGATAAAGATAGAGAAAGGGCTGAATGTGGAAGAACACCAAGAGGGTAAGGTTTATACAGAGAGCTCCATGTAGGGTGTTCAAAAGTTCTTGAGCAATTGAGATTTATGAAAAATATATTGTTGGTGTTTATAGATATTAGAATTAAGGTTAAATTACAGGTGAATTTATGTTTATTTGATTTATCAATTTTTTAACCCGCCATTTAATTTTTAGAAATTTTGAATATTACCTTAATTTATTAATCAAAGTTTAATAATCTAGTCATTTTGGACGTACAACGAGCTTTATCACATAAAATTAAAAGTTTAGAGGTTTCTTAAACACTTTTAAAAAAGTTTGTAGACTAAATAAATGAACTTAAAGTTCGGGAAGACTAAACCGATATTTTAACCTGAAATTGAAAAGCTGTTAGCTTTGTGATGACTAGTATTTATGTGTAGGGTGATTGTGAGTAGAGATTGCAATCATTTTTCTTTTTCAATATATTTTGTTGTTATGGATATAAATGTTTTATATATAAAGCACACATAATGGAACTTTCTTGGAGGACCAAGTGGTAAGGCCATGATCCGCACCAAAGGGGCAGGATAAAATAAGGTTGTGGAGTTTGGTTAGTCACTAGACTCAACCTCCCAAAAAAGTCTCATAATGAGATGAATTCTTATTTATAAACACACGATTCTCCTTAATTAGCCAACTTAGACTCCCTCCCAACAATGTTCAACAAAATCGAAGGGTTAGCCTTCCACAAATTCCAAATTGAGCATAGAAGAGTTAATTAGTTACCGCCTTAAACGATCTTGATATTTGCTGGAAACGTCTTGACTTTACAAATTTGTGCTTTATTGGATGATATGAAATGAGTAAAATTTTAGGGTCATTCTTAAATTAACAATATGGAACTTACTTTGTGTAACAACTCAAGTCTACTGCTAGCAGATATTGTTATCTTTGGCTTTCCCTTTTAGGATTCCGGTTAAAATTTTAAAACATGTATTTTATGGAGACGATCTAACCCTACTCTAACCAGTGTCTCACTTCGTCCGGTAACTTGATTATGATACTATTTGTAACATCCTAAGCCCATTGCTAGCTGAAGTAGAAACAGGAGCAAGAACTAATGTTTGAGCCACGACAGAGCTGGTTAGGATGATGAAGAAGATCCAAGACAAGCTCAGAAATTGTATAAAAGAAGATTAAGTGAAAGAGATGGACCTAGAAAAGCTTGAATATCTAAAGCTGGTAGTGGAAGAGGTTTTGAGATTGCATCATTGCATCGACCAACCCCTCTTCTATTTCCAAGAGAAACCATCTCCCCTTTTAAGCTTAATGGTTAAGATATTGACTCCAAGGCTCATCTTCACATCAATGTGTGGGCCATGGGACGAGATCCACAATCTTAGACTAACCCAGAAGAGTTCTTTTCGGAGAGGTTTATAAGAAGCAATATCGATTATAAAAGACAAAACTTCAAATTATTACTTATTAGAGGACAATGTTATCTTATAACTAATTATCCTATTTCTATCTATATTTTTTTTAATCAATAAATTAAGTTCTATAAAGCAACAAAATATTAGGAAAAAAATATTTATAAGAGAGAACAGAATACAAGATGAGATTAAAACTGCTACTATTTTACTCACCAACTTACAAGGTCAGATTATATATATATAACTAAAATCCAAAAATTTTGGAAATCTAAGTGACTTTTAGTGCTATCAGATTTCAAAGCTTTTCCTCTCCATTTTTAAACTTGATATACTTAAAAAGACCCAAAAAAAAAAAACTGACGTGGCAAATTCACTATCATTCAAAACTTAAGTAAGAAGTTAGTATCATTAACACATACCGATATACTTTTTTGGGGCAACTCATGGAGAAGGAATACTCGATATCAATGAGCAGTGGCTGCAATTGAAAGATACTGGAAGGTATTTAGTAGCACAAGTTGAAATGATGGGAGAAATGTCTCGAGGATAAGTCGACGTTGTGGCAATATGAGGTTTTGTCATCTCCATTTTGAGTTGATGATAGAGATGTCCATTACACGGAGACAAAGAAGTCTACCCATAAGAGAATTTAATTTATTGATAAGAAATATAGATAAAAATGAAGTAATTAGCCATATTTTATTTGAGTTGGAGGAGCATGACGGAGCCATATTTTTTTGAAAGCAGAGAGAGAGAGAGCGATGGGGGAGGGAGCCAATGAGGTGCAAATGACCCAACAAAGGAAGCTTTGGAGGAGTTGGAGGAAGAAGCTTGTTGTTGGGTTTTGCCTGTTTTCTTATGGTTTTAAGAAGCACTAGAGAAGAACGCAGGAAAAGCAGTGGAACCCAGATGAAAAAATCATTAGTAGGCATCATTGCATCAACTCTAAGCATTTCCAAGCTCTATTTTGGGAGATAAAGAGAGAGAGAGGGCAGAATGTGGAAGAATACCAAGAGGGCAAGGTTTATAAAGTGCTCCATGGGATGATCTATAAAATTTCAAATAAAATTTTAAATTTTGTGTATTTACAAAAGTGTTCATCGACATTCATATATTTTTGACACATCCGTTGGTATTAATGACGCTAGTATCTTCCCTACAAACGGACACAAATGGCTTTTTCAAATGGGTTATAAGTTTTTAATTGCTGTTCATCTTTAAAAGAATGGTTGGTATATTTTGGTATATTTTACCTAATTTCTGTTAACGATCAATTGAGCTTTATAGACTTTGGAATAATGTTAAATTATAAGTTTGGTGATTTGACTTTGTGTTTATTTGAATAACTATTCATACTTATTTCCTAAATTTAGTGTTAGTGCAATCTCTAGTGATTATAATAGTGATTATAGTATGTGACAAAAATGAGAAAGATGTTTTTCTGAATTACCTAATGGCACTCGATTAAAAAACGAAAAAAGTCGCTAATGGTATCCCTTGTTGGATGATGAAAGTCCCACATCGGTTAATTTAGGGAATGATCATGGGTTTATAATCTAAGAATACACTCTTCATTGGGATGGGGCCTTTTGGGAAAGCCCAAAGCAAAGCCATGAGAGTTTATGCTCAAAGTGGACAATATCATACCATTGTGGAGAGTCGTGTTCGTCTAACACCCCTCTAGTGGCCCAAAAATGGCATCAAATTGTCAAAAAAATATTCTCCATAGCTTAGGTTTTGAGTTTGAATTATAAGGTCACTTACACTGACTAAGGATTATTTTAATCCTAATTTTAGTTTTAGAATAATCTCTAGGGAATATAGTAAGAGACTAAATTGAGAAAGAAACTTTTATGAACATTCCAACTATGCCTCTTAAATGTCAACATCATATAATATGCCTCTTAAAGACGAATATCATATTTTAATCACAAATTCGAGCCTCCTTTCTTGGAGACTTGGACCAGCTCTAACTTTTTGGGGGCTCCATGCCATGTTTACATGTATGTACATCGTCTAATTCATTGGAGCTTTCTAGAGAGGTTGGGTTATATTTGTACTATTGAAATAGAGGTACATAGTTTGTAACCGTCTAAGTGGGTAGATTGTAAGATCTCACATCGTTGGAAGAGGAAAACAAATCATTTCTCATAAGAGTGTGAAAACTTCTTTTTAACAAATGCATTTTAAAAACCGTGAAACTAATGACGATACGTAACGAGCAAAACGGATAATATTTGTTAGCGATGGGGTTGGGATGTTAGGGATTCGTTAAAATCCTACTAGGGTATTTGAAACATTAGATTAAAAAAACAAAGTGACGACCCATGTTTTTCAACAATTTTACGAAAAATGTTCAAATTTGATTAAATTGGCACTCATGTTTACAATAGAAAAATATCTCAAAATAGGATTGCTCTCGGGCTATTTTCATAAGAGTACCATTGATAACATTTTTCATTCATAAAACGAGCGCGGTTAAGATGTCAAGAAAAACTTCTTTCTCATTTTGATCTTTTAGTATGTTCACTAGAGATCGAATCTACCATAGACAAATGCCTGAAAAGGATGTCTTTGAAGGGAATTCAGTCAAATCACGAGATTATGGTGCTTCATCTTGCCAAAGAGGAGAAATATTGATGAATTTTAAACGACTTGTAATTGTTCTAGTATATATTGTATGAACACGTTTAGAAAGGTATAAAAATATCGAAGTCTAAAATTTATGGAAATAGGGATGGAAATGAAGAAAATCATAAATAGTAAAATGGTTAGAATTAATTGTAGTTTGAATTGGTTGTGAGTAACTATGTAGAAGTAAAAAATAAACATAATTTCTAAATGTCATGATTTTTAGGGCTTTATACAACCGAGCTAATTAATCCTCAATTTCTATGAGTAAAGCATTCTCCAGTGTCTCGATCTCTTGAAATATGTTTGAATAAAAATGAGTACATGATCCAAAACACCAGCTCAACATAGTCCATATTTGTTATATTAAAAAATTCACAATCCAAAAGACCATTCTCGTCCCTCACTTTAAACACTAATTCCATTAAAAATCAAAACTCATGACCACGAATGGGTTGAACATCTAATGTATTAAATATCTGTTGTCATATTAGACGGATTTTTCATCGACATTTTTATGAGTAACGTAAAAAAAACTTAGACAAGGTATTGTGGAACTTAGGAGCATGGATGTGGTGAACAATTTGTAGTTAAAAATGAGGTACATTTATAATTTCTTTCTCAAATATTCAACTCGAAAATACCACTTTCATTGTATCGCCACATAAGTTGACTATAGCAAGAGCATTAAGTCGACGGATGTTATATGGTAAAGTAATAAAAATGACCAAAATATTTACGTTCTAAATTAACTTTGAAACTGCTGGAAAGGATTAGGAACAAAAAAAACATCAAACAAAACTTAGAAAAGAAAAGGAATAAGTGAATGAAGATCTTACATGGATATCCATTCAAACGCTGTGAGTAGACAAACAACTCTGCAGCCAATGTCTCCCAAACCCCACAAACTCACTCTCTTCCAGACATATTTTATGATAATCTGTGGTATCAAAACTTGCAAAAATTGTATAGTAATAGCTACTAGTTTTGTGATATCCATTATTCAACAAGCACATTGTTTTAATATTCATAATCCTACCTAGTGTCGTATTAGAATTGGTTTTGGTTCTAAAAGTGCTCAGTTTTTCATTTGTGGCCTTGTCATTTGTGAGGTGGATAGCATTTAACAACAAAGAGTAGATATCTATTCTAATATTCACCCACACCTTATGCACTAAAATCTCCACCATCATCTCATAATTATCTTTTATGTCATAAATACTTTTAGTCTCATATTATCATAAATACTTATATTTATTACCACTCAATTTCAATATATATCATCCTAAGAAAAAGAATTTATTTTTTAAAATTAATAATAAACTTGAGTTAATTCGGTTCCATTCATTCAAATTTTAGGATAACTCATGAATCAATCTCATTGAATCAAAATAAAACTTACCCATTTTTGGAAAAAGAGATATATTTTGTACAAACAAATTCATGATTTTTTAAAAAAAATATTTTGAGTTTATGATTAGATTTGTTTGAATATAAAATGAAATTAAAAAATAATAATAATTCAGCTGAAAGAAGGCTATAATGGGAAATTTGTAAAGACTAAATAATCAAACAGATTGTTTCCAACTTTTGAAAAGGTTTAAAATATGGCGTTTACGTGGAGAATCGACTCTGTCAAATAAATTAAAGAGTTTCAAATATTTAATTATTGTGTCTATAATGCTTGGAAAAAGGTCAGTATTGTAATTTTCTTTATTATTAAAAATGGAAAAAAAAAAAAAAATAGTAAAAAAATTTGGGATTTAAAAGGCCACAAAGGGTCTTTCTTATTTACCTTAGATTGGAATTTGACTAGAAGTATGTGGTGTTTGGTATAAAAAAAAAAAAAAAATTAAATGAGACTAATCCTTCAATAATTTGGTATTCGGAGGACATTTTTGTAAAATGCATAATGTAAAACGAATACAACCATAACCCGAGCTAAGAGAATGAAGAGATAAGAGGGCCTATGGAGAATATGGTAAAAAATTTATAATAGAGTTCAACCACAATAACTGAACCGAATATCTTCGTGTGCATAAGAATACAAGATTGTCGAGTAAGTCTACACTTAGTAGCCTCAACTATATCCAAAAACCAATATATTTTAGCATGTTTTTTGGAAATTTAACATGATTAATTTAAAGTTCTTATGAAAATTTTTGAAGTCGCGGATTTAAACGTAATATTAAAATATAATCGATGAGGTGTATGGTTTTGTTTTGTATTTGTGAAGGACAGCACTTCAAATTGGTGGCACTATACTTAACTTTACACATGTGAAAACCATATTCCCTTGTAATTGTGTATGAATTTTTTTATGACCCTTCAACCAATTTGCTTTCTCCTGTTGTGTGTTTGAGCTTTAGTGGAGACCCTAGAGTTTGCTTATTCCGCCATGGAAAACACTTCTATAAAAACCACATTTACTTGAGCCTTTCATATGAGTTCAACTACATAGAGCTGAAGAACACAAGAAGAGAAGGAGAAAAGGGTTTTGAAATGGAGGGTTTTGGCAGGCTTTTTGGATTGGCTAAGCCTTATTTGGTGGTCGTTTTTGTGCAGTTTGGTTATGCTGGAATGACGATTCTTGCTAAGTCTGCCTTGGACAAAGGGATGAGCCCACATGTTTTCGTCGTTTATCGTCATGCCGTTGCTACTCTTGTCATTGCTCCTTTTGCCTTTATCTTTGACAGGTTCGGAACTATATTTAGTCTTTCATTATAGTTTACCATAGATACTCTATTTGATCTTTTTCACCTTCAACTTCTATTCAAACATCTTGTATCTAATTATTATTTTTTTCATTTACCTTCTTTCTATTTATTTTATAGATGATTATAAATAGAAAATTTTAACCAATATAACAAATTTTTTCATCAATAAACTAGCCCGCTAGTAATTTTGTAGGGTTGGATAAATATCCGTATGTATTTCACAGTTACGAAATGACGATAATATTCAATAATTATTTAGTTTTGCGTGCAGGAAGGCGAGGACGAAGATGACTTTTTCGATATTCTGGAAGATTGTGTTGCTGGGTTTATTGGAGTAAGAACTACTAACCAGAGATGAAATATTAGTTGACAATAAGAATGCTTTTTAAGTTAATAAGTTACGATAAATTTAATCTTTTATTGACGTTGTTAAATGGGTTTGTGAATGGCAGGCCGGTGATCGATCAGAACTTGTACTTTACTGGTATGAAGCTCACAACAGCAACGTTTACAGCAGCCATGTGCAATATTCTACCAGCTTTCTCTTTCCTCATGGCTTGGGCTTGCAGGTGATTCAAGTCATGTGCATGAAATGTTTTAAGCAATTTTGGTTTGGTGACCCAACATTGTATGAATACTTGTATGGCAGGCTTGAGAAAGTGAATATTTTGAAAAGGGGAAGCCAAGCAAAGATGATAGGAACCATAGTGACAGTTGGAGGAGCCATGATTATGACCTTCATAAGAGGGCCAATGTTGAATCTGCCATGGACAAGAGCCAACCAGCACTCAGCTTCTTCAGCTGGTTCTGCTAATCACCAAAGCCCACTCAAGGGCTCACTCATGATAGCTACTGGCTGCATTTGTTGGTCAGCTTTCATCACTCTTCAGGTAAATAATCTACCTCTAATGCTAACTCGAAGTATATGGAGCCTATTGTCTATTTATAACTTGTCGAAGTAAAAATATATATGGAAAATTGTCGTATACAATAAATAGGGTAGAGATATATATGGTAGATATTATATAGAATAGATAGTTATACCTATTATAAACTGAAACCATATATGTATGCCTTGGACAGTGTTTCGAAGATGTACTTTTATCATTATTTCTCTGTATTCTCTTGGTACACATAATTTATTAGGAATCACGGATCTCCACACAATGGTATGATATTGTCCACTTTAAGCATAAGCTCTCATGGCTTTGCTTTGGGCTTTCCCAGAAGGCCTCACTTATATACCAATGGAGATAGTATTCCTCACTTATGACATGATCTTACACTAATTTAGCCAATGTAGGACTCACTCCAAAAATAATCCTCAACATACCTGTAATCAATACAAAACTTTTAGCTAATATTTCTCCTTGCATTTTCTCTCTCCTATTCTTTGTGTTCATCTAGATTGAGTATGTGTTGTTGTGCAATCCTAACACTCAATGTCAATGGCATTAGGCGATTACATTAAAAGAGTACCCGGTGGAGTTGTCGCTTACTGCATTGATATGCTTGGTGGGCACCATTGGAGGGTCAGGGGTGGCTTTGATCATGGAGAGGGGGAACCTTGGTGCTTGGGTTTTGCACTTAGATAGTCAGCTTCTGGCTGTTGTTTATTCTGTAAGTATTCATGTTTCAGCTGAATTTGGACCCTTTTTTCCATTCCTAATAGCAGTAATGTTTGGTTGGTAGGGAGTAATATGTACAGGGGTAACTTATTATATTCAAGGAGTGGTGATGCAAACAAAAGGGCCTGTTTTTGTGACAGCATTCAGTCCTTTGAGCATGATTCTTGTTGCAATCATGAGCTCCTTCATCTTGGCTGAGATAATGTTCTTGGGCAGGTAAGAACAAAACATGTTTCAACAGCCTTCATGTTCCAACCAGCTCAAGCTAAACCCTTTTCAACTCTTTTGCAGGATTCTTGGAGCTGTGGCCATTATCAGTGGCTTGTACTTGGTTTTGTGGGGAAAAAGCAAAGATCAAACTTCAGTTGATTCAGAGTGTGATAAGATTACCCCGTGTGAGCAACAAATGACTAGAAATGGTGAAGAATTTGTGGTGGTTGATGTTGCCAAAGAGGACACAAATTGATGAACTCTAAACAACATGATTGGAGTATCCTTCATTTCATTTCAACTAAAGTGTATTTGTGAGTTTTTGCATTCATGGAAGGCCATATAAAAAGTTATGGTTTTTGTTGGAACCAAACTTCTGCGAATCTACAAATTTCCCCATTAATCTATGTTGTTGAGACATAATTTCGATGATATTCTTAGAAAGAAATTGGTGTTTCTTGAACATTAAAAACATGGAAACTAAGACCAAAATCTTATAGAATTCTAGCTCTTTTACGCCTCCTTAATTCAACTTTAGTATAAAACTAATATCATCTTAAGGATTAGAAGAACCAAAGTGGAAATTTGTTCACAAATTGTATTAGTGGTAGCTTTAGACTTTGGATCATGGTAGCATCTAAAATGTGCTATAAATACACCTTATGTCATGATTCATGACCGGAAAAGTTTAGAATAACTTATCTTGGTTAAAATCAAGGGGAAGAAAACTGGTTTCTAAACTTGTGATTCGAATTACTTCACTAAAAATTTTGATCAATACCATTTGAATCACTCTCACATGGAAGCTCTAAACACAATAATTTGTAAAGTAAGAACTTTATCTTTTCGATCAATACCATTTGAATGACTATCGCATTCATGTGTAAGTTCTAGAAATAATAATTTGCAAAGTAAGAACTTATATGTTAACAAACTTAAAATAGAAAATCTATTTCTTTTTTCAATTTAAAAAAATGTGTACCATGAAAGAAAAGATGACTTATATAGTTTTTTATCACCAACCTAGGTGAGTTAAATACATATCTAACCTCCTAACTAAAATTATTAGTTAATGATGGAAGATCCACCGGTGTATGTTACAATATAATCTTAACTTCTTAACTCCGATATTAAAACTAGCTTAAATAACAAATAAATATTGAAATTACAATGAAAATAATGCAACAAAGAGATGTGTTATCTAGTAATGATCGTTTGACTCACTATGAGTCATTAAATGCAAATTAAAATGTATTTATTATATATATCTCTCTAAGCTCAAATATTGTATGCAACATGTAGATAAGGACTCCAACATCTTCTACAATTTCAAGGAGCTTACAATATCTTGAAGATAAGTGACTAAAACTTGTTAGTAATTTCTTGGCTCTCGTGCTTACAATTGACCCTTCTAACATGAAAATTATTTGATAACATTATTTAAGGTTATTTTTCACTTTTCATGAATTTATTTGTTTATTCAGTAGGGATTGAACCATTTGAATATATATATATATATTTTTTTTGTTCGTGAGACACTTTTTAGATTTTTTAAAAAATCATAGTTAAAGTTACAATGAGAATGCAAAATTTTATGAATTTGACTTAGAGCACATTCGAAATGCTATTTTTTTTTAAAGTTATTTTTTCATCATTAGTAAAGGGTAGCCTTGGTCGATTATTATTTCCTAAAAAAAAAAGAAGGAACGAGACAAACTACTATAGTGAGTCTAGTGATTAACCAACCTCCAGTGCCTTATCTTATCTATGTGTCGGTCATGACTTTACCACTTGGGCACCAAGAAAGTTCCATCAACAACATAGTACGACTACTTTATATATAAAATGTCTATATCAATAAAACTACCTAGGACAGCTTATTGCAATCTATGTGGTGGAAAATAGGTGAATCACCCTACACACAAATATTAGCCATTACACAGTTTTTGTGGTGGAAGTTTGTTTGTTTGATAGTTCCTAAATTTTGGGTTTTCAATTTTGTATCTCATTAACTTATTTAAAATTTTCAAATATTATTAAATATAAATTTGAATGATGTATTTTAAAAAATATTAAAGTCAGTAAAAAAATTTAAAATCTATTACCCATAAAACTGAAAATTTATAGATCTAGCAATTGAACTCTTTATAAACCTTACCCTCTTGGTGTTCTTCCACATTCAGCCCTTTCTCTATCTTTATCTCTCTGAGTAGAGCTTTGAAATGCTTAGCGTTGAGAGAATGATGTCTAATAATCTCTTTATCTGGGTTCCTCTGCTTTTCCTCTGTTCTTCTCTGTTGCTTCTTAAATCCATAAGAAAACAGGCAAACCCCAACAACAAGCTTCTTCCTCCAACCCCTCCCAAGCTTCCTTTGTTGGGCCATTTTCACCTCATTGGCTCCCTCCCCCATCGCTCTCTCTCTCAGCTTTCAAAAAAATATGGTCCCGTCATGCTCCTCCAACTCGGCTCTGTCCCAACCATTGTGATCTCCTCTGCCGCCGCTGCAAGAGAGTTGTTCAAATTTCACGACCTTGCTTCTTGCAGTCGACCTCTCTTACACGCCAACGGAAGACTTTCGTACAACTATCTTGACATGAGTCTCACTCCATACGGTGAACACTGGAGGAACGTCCGAAAGATTTGTATGCTTGAGCTCTTCACTGCTCGTCGGGTTCAATCTTTTCAGGAAATTAGAGAAGAGGAAGTGGGGCGCCTTCTAAACTCCATCTCTCAATCCGCTTCTTCTTCAGCTCCAATTGATATGAGTGACAAATCCTATTCTCTCACTGCAAATATAATAACAAGAGTTGCTTTTGGCAGCATCTTCAGCGGAGGAAAACTAGATGATGAACACTTTCAACATGTTATCCGGAGAGCAGTTGCAGCAATTGGAAGCTTCTCGATGACCGATTTCTTTCCTACTTTCGGTTGGATTATTGATAGGTTAAATGGTGGTCATGGGAGGCTGGAGAAGAGCTTTGGTGTGCTGGATGCCTTTTTTCAACATGTAGTCGACGATCGTATCAACTTCAAGAAGACTTCTAAGAACGAAGAAAACATTGTTGATGTTTTGTTGAGAATGGAAAGGGAAAGCTCTGAATCTGATGCAATAAAAGTCACCCGAGATTGCATTAAAGCACTCATCAAGGTAACCTAAAATTCGAGATTCTAAACAAGATTAGGAGTGGATTATTTTAATCTTTAGATGTATGGTTTTCTAGTAGGATATCTTCATGGCGGGAGTTGAAACAGGAGCCGACACTATTGTTTGGGCCATGACAGAGCTGATTAGGAACCCAAGGGTGATGAAGAAGCTCCAAGACAAGATCAGAAGTTGCATAAAAGAAGATTTAGTGAAAGAGGACGACCTAGAAAAGTTTGAGTATCTAAAAATGGTAGTGAAAGAGGTTCTGAGATTGCATCCACCGGCTCCTCTTCTGCTTACAAGAGAAACCATCTCCCCTTTTAAGCTTAATGGTTACGATATCGAACCCAAGACTCATCTTCACATTAATGTGTGGGCCATCGGACGAGACCCACAATCTTGGACTAACCCAGAAGAATTCTTTCCCGAGAGGTTTATAGGAAGCAATATCGATTATAAAGGACAGAACTTTGAGTTATTACCTTTCGGAGGCGGTCGAAGAATATGTCCTGGGATGAACATGGCTACCCTTACGGTGGAGTTGGCACTGGCTAACCTGTTGTGGTGCTTTGATTGGAAACTTCCCGATGGAATGAAGGAAGAAGATGTAGACATGGAAGAGGAGGTTGGTCTTACGATTGCCAAGAAATCACTCCTTAAGCTAATTCCAGTCCTTTCAACTAATTTTTAGTTGATAGTTTAGGGTTATCCAATAAAATTAAGCGATCATTTCTATTAATATTTCTTATGAACAAATTAAAGAAGATTGTAACCAAAATGAAAAGACTTTCTAATTGTATTACTCACTCAAGTTACAACGTCCCAATCTATAGGTTTATACTGAAACTAAAATCCAAAAAAAAGTTAGAAATCCTATTTATTAACAACATATCCTATAGCAATTGACACAATACAAATTCATAAATTTTTTAAAACTATTAACAATTTTCTCCTTTGAATCACATATTTAAAGTTAATAGATGTCAAGTAATCTTTTGAAATGATTTTTTTTTTTTTATAAAGCCTTAATAAATATGTCTACTAGTAGTTACTCGGTTTTACAATAATTCAAGATAATTTCATCATTTGCAAACAAGATCATGAATATTGTAATGTCGTATTTCAATGATTTGTTCTTATGTGAAATGTTGGGTTTTTTTGTCATATTCTTTTTTCTCACAAAATATCTATGGTGCTCCGTTTTAATCTTGTCGAAGATCAGCTAAATTCTTCTCAACCAAATAGCTTGACACATTGCTGAAGCTGCTGCAACATATTCTTCTTCTAATGTTGATAATGTCTATCTTGCTTGCTTCTTTGAGCTCCAAGTGATCATTCCTCATCCTAGAGTGAAAACATTTGTTGAAATGCTCAACTAATGATCCTATTTAATTGCTATCCGTGAACCCATATTTTATAGTTCTAGCAACATCATTCAAGACCCATTTTGTTGCTCCATAATGAACTTTTGAAGACTGTTGCATAAACCTGAAAATAACACCAACTGAAAAATATATTATCGAGTCGTGTTTGCATTATGTAGACCAATCTATCGATCAAGCTTTTGAATTTTCTAGCATCTGTAATTTCTACTCCATCTTCATGTTGTTATTTTTTATTAATATTCATAGATATGATTGGACGCTTACAACTAAGCATACTAAATTTACTCAATATTTTTAACATATTTTCTTTGCGAAATAAAAATCTCATCTTCTAACTTTGACATATTCCAAGACTACGAAAATATTCCAATAAAATCGTATCTATAATCTCAAATTCACTATTGTTTGAGACTTAAATTTATCCCCAATAGAGTTAAAAGAGCTAGTAAAGATGATATTATCAACATAGTATAAATGATATTATAACATAAAGGCAGATAAAGATAATATCAGTTATATCTTCCTTCTTCATATACAAAGAAGTCTCATTCTATCTTCTCATGTATTCTTTTTCTTGAAAATACCCATCAATCTTGCTATACCAAGCTCAAGGGACTTGTTTTAATTTGCACAATGTCTTTCTCAACTTTTATACCCTTGTTTCTTTGTTTTTTTTTCTTATAAATTTCTCTGGTTGTGCTGCATAAACCTCTTCTTGTAAATTACCATTAAGGCATACTAAGCAATAAAGGCAGAGTTGCTACTCTCAGCACATATAGTCCTCCATCCCTTTCATAAGTAGCCACCCCTTTCATGTTTGACGATTCCTAACAATAAGAAAATTGTTACTAAATGTAATGGAGAGAGAAAAATCAGACATTAATTTACTAATTAAAAGAAGATTTTTAGTAAGACGAGAACAATCAAGATATCTAATAAGTGAATGTTTGGAAGAGGAGAAAGAGTATAAGTGTGGGTAATGCGTAGAGATGCATTGTTTCCTACGATCACAGAGTCTTTACCCGTTTAATTTTTAGATTGATCCAAAATAGATGAAATAGTGGTCATATGGGCCAAAGTCCCAGTGTCCAAGAAGCAATTAGTAGTCTTGGGACCAACAATAGAACAAGATGTGTTGACAGCTTCAACAAGGTGAACATGAGCATAATCGGTCCAAATGTACCCTTGGTTGCAGCGGTCAACATAATTGCCCTCCATAAGGTATATTTGACAGTGAGGTGGTCGACAACCATGCCTCGAGTGGGTTCGTCCTTGGTTGGAAGAGTTGTTGTTGTGGGAATGAGAACGACTTAGCTGGCTTCTAAAGGAAGCAGTGTGACTTCCATGAGTGCGACCACGATTAGTGACTGTGAATGTCGTATGAATGGAGTCAGAAGACTCAAGGAAGACTAAATCTGGAAAACAGGGGAGAGAGGTAAGAGCTCATCCTTGAGTCTCAATTCATAGGCTTTCAAATGATGGCTAAACATAGTTTCCAACGCGAGCCAAATATCACATGTAATGGAGAGACCAATGACGACAGTAGTGGCTTCATCGGTGAGAGACGAGAGTAGGAGACATAGAAGTTGTTGATTGGTTTCTTTCCATGTCATATATTTGATGCTGAGTGTTGAGGAGGATTATGGTTTAAAGCAAGGTGGTGAAACCAGAGTTCCAACAACATAGCCCAATATATCTCTTGACTCTCAATAAGAGAGAGAAGTTTGCTTTTCTAAAGAAGATAATTGGATGAAGAAAGTTTGATGGTGATCATATGGATTAGAGTGTTGAAAGGAAGAAGATGAGAAGAGGATTCAGAAGTCATGGAGAAGAAAGGATCGGGGTTGCTAAACTAAAGGGGCTCTGATACCATGAGAATATTTACTAAAACTATATAAATTCTCAATTTATAATCATTTACAAAATGAAATAAATTACAAAAAAAAAAAAATGAAAAGAGTAATGGATGGATACAAGATATTTGTCTATAATAAAAGAAAAAATATGATATAAATGGTAAACGGTAATGAAAAGTTAAATATCCTACATAATAAAGAGTCAAATATGATACATACATTAAACCATAATTTAAGGCTAAATAACCTCAACAAAACTGATAAACAAGCCATCGCAATTATGTTGCTAATGCTAGAATAGTTCTTACCGTTTCAAAGTAAGCTACTAAAGATATGGTTTCTCCAAAATCCACACCTTGTTGTGCATACCATTTTTCCACAACACGAGCTTTATGCTTTGTATGCTTCCATATGCTACAAATTTTGTCTAGAACACTCATTTTAAGTTGACTGCATTTTTTCCATTTGGTAAATCAATCATCTCACATGTTTCATTCTTCTTAATTGTCATCATCTCTTCTACAATGGCTTTCTGCTGCTCTTTTTTTTTTTTTTTTTCAGCTGCTTCTTCTTTAATTTATAGAGTCTGAAGCAATAAGAGTATATTGACATGATGCGTTTATTCACCTAAATATTTATACATTTTTGGTAGTGTCTCATCCGAGAAGATTCAAGAGAAGAGTTGTTTGGTAATACTGCGTAAGTGACTTCGAGATGGTTTCCTTTCATGTCATGTGTCATAAGGAGATCAATTCATTAAGGATTTGTTGGTGAAAGATTTAATAGATAGATGTTGTTATAGATTCTGTCCAAAATTGGTTTGAAAGTCTTGTACTTGTAACATACTTTTTGTCATCTTTGCAACAATTCCAATGTTCATTCACCCATTCCATTTTGTTTTAGAGGGTAAAGAGTTGTTAACTCCCTTTGGATGCTCTATTCTTCACAAAATAGATTGAATTTTTTATATATAAACTCGTCGTCTCTATCTACGCAAAGAAATTTAACGTGACACCCACTTCGGTTCTCTACCATTGCATTAAAATTCTAGAACTTTTCAAAAGTTTTTGACTTATGTTAGAGGAAGTAAATTCAACTCATATGACTATAGTCATCACTAAATAGTAAAAAATAAACACTCTCACCCAAGAATTTAGTTTGCATTGGCCCACGTAAATAACATGAATGAGTTCTAAACAATTTGAAACTCTTTAGCTTATCCAACACGAAAAGACTTCCTAGTTTGCTTACCATAAGTGCACATTCACATAAACTAATTGTATCAATGTTTGGTAACCCGAAAATCATACATTTATCTATGGTTAATTTTAGGTCCTTCATATGAAGATGTCCATATCTCAAATGTCATAGCGTCGAGTCATCTTTTGCTCAAGCAGTAAGAGAAAAATTCCTCGCGTTAAAAGCATTCCATGGAAACACCTTATTTGAAGTCATGTGAATTGGAACTTGTAGGCCTCATTTCTTATTTGTAATTATACATGTGTTGTCATCAAATAAAACAAAATATCCTCCAATCATCAATGGTTCAACACTCAATAGGTTGTATACGACACAAATTGAACACTATCTAATAGTTTTACTATGTCATGACTGGTTTAAACTTTCAATGACTTTCCCTTCAACTTGCCTCTTTCTTTTCTTTCTTTTATTGTCAAATTGCATCTAACTCTTTGCGTCTCACCAAGCACTTTGAGTGCCTTTCATATGGTTCGAGCATTAGCTATCAACAAACCATATATCCCTTTGTTTTAAGTTAGTATCAATACAAGTTATAAAAAAAATTTCTTCTTCTTATTCATTTTTTACTCCAAAATTCGTTTGTTAACCTTTACACCAACAATCAGCTTTACATGACCATATCATTTGCCATGGTAACATTAAATGTCATTCCTCATATACTTGGCTAGTTAAACTTCCTTTGTCCATCATTTCTCTTATACTCCGGTTATTACAACCATAGTTGCATCGATGTTCTCCTCTTCCACCGTCTCTAGTTGCTTAATGAACATTTTTCCATGGGTTGGCGGTTGTCTCCTTTGATTTAAAGTGTTTTTCTTCTTTCATTTTTTTATGATTTATTGATTCTTGATTCATGAGCCTGAAAAGAGCCCATTAGTTCATCATTAGAGAGTACTAATAGATCTTTATCTCCTTCTATGATAGTCATTACATAGTCAAACTTTGAAGTTAAACTTCTCAATACCTTGCAACAATAGACTCATGAAATTTGTTCATCATAGGCACACATTTGGCTGATTATTGACATTGCTTTAGATAAAAAAAAATCAACCATCGATTCACCATTCATCATGGGCAAAGTTTCAAAATTACATTTTAGAGATTGCAATTTAATGTTATTATGTTTGAATCTCCTTAAACTTCTTCTGCAAAATTATACTTGCTTTGAAGTGTTGCGGCTGCAATTCATGATATCCTGCAACTGTGATAAGATGGTCTCATGAATAGCTTGCTGCATAATAAT